GTGAAAGTTTCTTCCGGGTAAGTTGCTAACTCGGGAACGTGAGAAGCTAGAAGACTGGAATTTTGAAGGAATGTTTCTTGATATTCCTGGCGGCCGGTCTGAAATTCTTTTGGGTAGAAGCATCTGCCGGAAAAACCAGTATCGTTAGCGACAAAAATCTGCGAGGAGCTGTGCAAAAAAAGCATCTTCGCACGAGCAGCCCGTGCGTTGGCCAGTTATCTCATCCTTAATCGCTTACAACAAATTAAGAAATTTTTCAGTAGACATCCGGACGCTTCGGAATTGGATGAAATATATGTTGTTTGTATGCGTTCCATTTGTCCGCTTGCAAATCCGAAGCCCGTTTTCACTTTTAAGCATCCAAATTTCGATCGGACGTCGAATGTTAGAAGCAACATTGTTATGTTCAATGTTGACATGAACTCAGAGGTAAGCATTATTATCAATGATAATCGATTAACAAATACTTTTTTTTTCCAATTTTTTTGCGAGCGACTTGTGAGCCATTTAATTTTTGACACAAAAATTGACTTCTTTTACCTAAATTTCATTGTTTTTCTCGCATTTGATACAGTTTGGTACCGTTTTCTTCAGTTGTTGCTTGGGAAATATTTCTTGAATGAATTTTTTAGCTAATCAGTTTAGGATATTTGTGTTTACTCATTTGTTTAATTCACTTCCATCCTGAAAAATGTCGAATAGGGGGTATCAAATCCTGGATATGCGTGGCCATCAGCGATTCTTTGTTGTTTTGGTCAAAATAAGTTTAAAACTGCACTGACATTTCACTTTTTTTTTTTTCTTTTTTTCAGATTATGGGTTTTGCGGGTTATTTTGAGGCTCAGCTTTATGGAAATATTCATCTGAGTATTGTGCCTCAGACGCATACAAGAGGCTTAGTAAGCTGGTTTCCAGCGCTCATACCGCTTCGCCAGCCTCAGCGTTTACAGCGCGGCAGTAAAGTAAGTCTCATTTCTTATTTTTTGAGAAAATTGACCTCGTTTGACCCTTTTTTATTTCTGAGAGAGGAGGTGGGGATGAAAACAACGATTGGACGTGGTATTTAGCGAATTCTGAGGAACTTGCATTGGGATTTTGTGGGAAAACCAGTTTTTTGAGGTGTTTGATGAGTAAAGCATCGCATTGTGTAGTAATATTTCATCGGTTTTCATGTTAAGATCGATTTGCGACAAATGTTTGTTTAGTTTTTATAAAGTATTATCTAAATTCATTCAAGTTTTTTGAAGGCAAATTGCTTCTGCATTTGTGGAAAGTGTTGTAAAGAATTCTAACTTAGGTCCATCTTCAGCCCTTGAGCTTTTCTCTAACAATATACCGGAAATGCTTTCGCTAGATACAGGTACACTGTGAATAGCCTTTTAGTATTTTCCACAAAAAATTTAAAAAAATCTGTTTGATGTTGATTTCAGGTTCTTTTTCATATGAATCGGAAATTTGACGAGCAGGGTGTTTGGTATGAATGGTTTTGCGAAATTCAGGTACTGTATATCTCATTCTTTTTTTTTGTGGTTTTCAAGGGTTAAATCAATATTACAGAGATGAGGCAAATATGTTTAGAATGCATGGAATAGCTGTTAATTCATATTCTGACTGCCCGTCTGTGCAGCTGGCAAACTTTCCAGTTCCTTTCACCAAAGTTGCATCGTCTGTGGTGAGCCTGCTGCCGACGTAGTTGCTCATCTCATCTGTTGAAAGAATTGGTAACCCTTAGTGGTTTTCCTGGCAGGAACCACTGGTGGATCCGTGGGGGAGATCGGTGGATGTTTCGCCCAGTGGTACAGGTAGCAGTTGTTTTACTGGAGAAAACTCTTTTCGATCCCCCCACCTCTCTTCCCCCTCCCAGTCGTCACTTAGGATTGACGAACGAGAGGGAATAATGAGGCTTCCGGTGTAGTGAAGAA